CTAAATTCACAAATCACAAAGAATTTAGGTTGCCAACTAGAGTTTAGGCATCTAAGAATTTTCACAACCAATTTTTCATTTGAAAATGTTTTTCCTAGAGCTCTCATATGACTTACAATATGGGTAAACAATGTTTGCATTTGATTTATGTTCTACTCATGTTTCATTTTGAAAAAATTATACTTTAGAGTTAATGCGTCAAACCTTGCCCCCTTTACCTCAGTAGTTCTTTCATGGATAATTTAGAGGATTTCTCACATCAAGTTTATAGTTTCGTAGTGAGAAACTCGTAAAAACCCATCAAGACCGAGAGAGGTAGTAATCATAGTTTTTCCTTCAAATTATGTTGCATATTATCTTTATCAACTTTGGTCTAATCCTTTTTAGGTTTGTTTACTATAGCACCATCAACTTCGTGTCTAGGAACAAATGAACCTTCCTTCACTGCCTTTCAACTTGAAGTCATTTTTCTCATGGAATAATTAGTCTTTAACATGAGATAGATTTTGATGTCACTTTTTGGGCAAGTGACTCCAAGCATAAGAGAGAGGGAGGGGGGAGTGAATTGTGCTATTTAAATTTTTTAGTTAATTTAAAAAGTGTGTTATTATTGACAAAATCATAGATAAAAGCAGCGGAAATAAATAAAATAATAATGTAAATGACATAATTTAAAGATATACAATTAGAAAGATGGCATAGTCATGTTCCCAAGAGATTTTTCTGGCTATTCTCCCAACCAAAAAAGAGCTTTTTCTATCAGATGAACTCATAAGCCAAGTAGAGATTTTATCGACTAATCTCAATAACCAAACTAAACTTTTATAAGACCGAGTTCTATAACCAAACAAAGATGTTTTAATGGTTAATCTCATGAACCAAACTTTATCCTTCAAGAGTATCACACTCTTGAAATAAAATAGTGCCACATGATCAGTCCAATCAGTCAATATTTTCCTCACAAGTAGTTTTCAGTCACAAGGTACTAAGACAACTTTGGTGAAGAAAATATTTAAAAAGAGTATAAAAGAGTGATAAAATTTTAAGAAATAGAAAAACTTCGAATTTTGGTGTATTTTTGAATGAGTAGAAACCTCATTTATATAGGAGAAAATGAGGTTAAAAATGAAATAATCATTGGATTGAGTCAATGCCATAATCGATTAGACTAGTCAATTATTGACCTTCAATAATTGATTATTAAAGGCAAAAATAGAAGATTTTGATATTTAGCTATTATCAATCATTAACAGTCTTTTCCAAGAGATTTTAAATTCAACTTAGACATAATAATTGATTAGGTTATTGGTCTAATCGATTATGTAGTTAGAAAAAGCAATCTAATCAATCAAACACTCTCCTAATCGACTAGATAGACCCTAAAAATATTTTCAGGTGATTTTATCAAATAAAGTAAGGCCTTAAAAACATCTTAGGTGTGTGTGTGAATTTTCTTAGTATCTTAAGAGTTACTCTCCTACTTTCACAAGACTCTGATCACTCATAAAGACACGATCAGACGAGCTTTTACACTTCATTTCTTTCACAAATCTGAAGCTCTCAAGTTCCTTTTATAGATACACCAATCACAAAATCATTTCAATAAAACCTTAAATTTTCTATTTGATGAAGTTTGAGATATCTTTAATTCAATCACCACCATCAAATAGTTAGAAAGATATTACTACCGACTTTAACAAGCATCATTGTTGTCGTCATCAAAACACCAAGAAGGTCACCAACATCTGGATCATCAACTTCATATCTGGAAGCACATAAATCCACAAAATTAACCTTGATAGAGAAATTCTCCATGTTAAATAACTTGTCTATATGACATCTTCTTCTTTTAAGGGGCACATGTGCTTCAATTCACTAGTTTATAATTATTAAATGTTTAATAGTAAATATCGACCTCCTCCCGCACCTTGAATCATACAAATTTATTGTTGCTTTCATAATCATAATTGAATTAAGTGCAACATGAATGAAGCTCAATGAGGAAATCCTAGAATATCGACTTGTGGTGGCATATTTAGGGATAATTTAAGAACACTCTTGAGAGCTTTCACAACTAAGATTGAAATTTGCACCACCTTTCAAGTTGAATTACATAGAATCATGTTTGCTATCAAATATGTTAACAGTAGAAATTTGAGAAATCTTTAACTTGAAAATGATTCAATGCAGGTCATTTGTGCATTTCCTAATATAAATATTATTCTTTTATATCTTTTAACTAAACATAATATATGTTTCTTTAGATTTGAAATATCTTACATTTTTATAGAGCAAAATGCATGTGTATATAGATTAAACAATGTAATTTTTTTTTTGATTATGACATTTTTTGAATTTTTCACTTCCTAAGTATATTTTTGAAAAGTCTTTCAAAAATAAGTTGAATGTGTCAAACTATCGTTTTTTTAAATATTTGTTGGGTTAAATTTTGCGCCCACGTCTTTTTTATTAAATAATTTATCTTTATTAAAAAATATATAAACATATATTTATTTTTTATTCTATATTTATTTAGTTATCCTGATAAGCAATAATGTTCTATTTAATTATACAGTATGCTACTATAAATCCAAGCTATATAGTACCTTTCTTACTTTCATTAAATATCATTTTATGATTAGTTAAACGGTTTCTATTTCTATTTTATTTGTTTCTCAACATTTCATGTAGATGGAGTGGTAAAACGGGTTGGAGTAATTGGGTCGACCCAAAAGTCCGTTAATAATTTTGGATTTGAACCAAAATAATTAGAACACATTTAGTATTCGGGGTTTTAAATCCGATCCGTTTAAAAATTCAATGTTTAATTGGACTAATCCGACCGAGTTGCGGATAGTCCATTTATTTAATTTATTTATTTTGGATAAAAACTATAATTCATTATACTAGTAATGTTCATATTATTTTTTAATAAAAATATAAAAGTCTATTTTATAATATATTATACTATCAATCTTCATTTTAATGAAAACTATAATATATTATATAATTAATGTTCATTTTATAATACCTTATACTATTAATGTTTCAACTTGAATCTTGATTATTTTATTAAAATAATTTATTTTTATGATATCTTATTTTAGATGTTATGAATGTAATTGTTTTATTTTATTTCTGTACCTTATCTTAGTGACCAGAAAGGGAGGTACTTGCCACCCACATCATATATTTTAACACATAAAATAAACAAATGATGAGTTTTGTCTTCTGCCGACAGTTTTAAAGTACATTTTTGTACAAGAAAGTAAAATCTATGGTTAAGATTTCATAATGAACCTAAGGTTCAAAAGCTTTGTACTTTGATAAACCAATAAACAAGTAAGTAATGTAAGATTCTTTCACATCTTTATTACACTATAAGAATAATTTTTACCCTTTATTCATGACTCTTAGCTTATCTCGAGTGCTTGACCCTCTTAGAGGGTCCTTCATGTCCTAAATATTCATTGCACAACAGTTATTGGGACCCATTTTAAATGATGCTGGATACTTCACTTCATTTATATACCCTTGTTAAAAATAATCAAATGCATTGTCTCGTCTTTTATAATTGACTTAATCACCTTTCTGCCTATATTTTTGAAAGGTGAGATATTAAGATCTGAATGTTGCTTCACAATTTTATTGTATATGTGTAATATTATGGGAATTGTCCATTTGTGCTGCTAGTTGTTGAAATTGCTTTGTCTACTGAGGTGATACTTACATAAGGTGGTTAACTTGCTAGCATCAAGATAACTTAATTAATGATTAAAGGTACCTTAACTCGTCCATTTTAAATGCGTGATTGTAACTGTAAGTGTGTGTTTTCTTTGTACAAAAAATTATGTTTCACCAAATGGGTAGTTTCTCTTGCTTATTCAATAAATAATGTTTCAAGTGTCTAATTTCAGTTGCAATTCATTTTGATAAAGTTTCACCGATTCTTTTGTAGGAATTCAAATATTTAGGCGAAAAACTTATTTTGTTGTATGGCTCTTAAACATGGGAGTTTTTAATAGAAAATTTCTAACTGAATCGAATCAAATCGAAAATTGTAAAAAGTTGTATTTAGTTTAAGTGTGTTTTGACTATATTTTAACAAAATAGTGCGGTTCAATTTAGTTTGCAGTACATATTTTATAAATCGAACCTTATCAAATCAAATTAAATACATTATGTTAATATATTTGATATATTTTTAGAAATGATCAAGATCTCACAATTAAATGAGAGACTTTCTGATATAGAATTTGATTAGTAGACGTGCTTGAAAATAAAATGGTATATTTTTAAATTTTATTCATTCCTTTTAAATCTTTTCATTTGTTTTTAAGTATTAGCATCTTCAATTATGATATGTAAGGAACTCTAATAGAGGATACTTCACTATCATAATTTTAATGAAAGAGTTAGGTGTTGATGTGACTGAGTTTTCTAGTAGGAGGGGGTGCTTCCTTGATGTCTTGGGAGAAGATGTTGTGTTTATAAGGTCTAGTATAAGATTGAAATGTTTCTTTGTTTATGTCGTGTGATTGTTAGCCTATTTTTGATCTAGGTGATATGTACTTTGTAATATACATTATTATTTTGTTATTTGAGTTCTTTTATTACTTTGGTGCTAAAATGATGTTGTAACTTGTACTCATGACATTGTTATTTGTTATTTGTTATAACTAACTCGAGTGTTTTATTCTAATACACCTCTCAAGCTCATGGAGGTTTGAAAGATACAAATTTAAACTTGTCACGAAATGTAGAGAAAAGAGTTGTTGAAAGAGGTTCGATGAGGATGTCAGCAGTTTGCACGTGTGCGAGTACATTTTGAATCTGCAGCTTTTGTGCAACAACACATTCACAAATGAAATGTATGTCTAGCTCTATGTTCTTCGTACGAGCATGAAGTATAGGATTATGTAACAACACGAGGGCTCTGAGATTATCACACAGCAATGTAGATTTAAGATAGCTGACTCTGAGTTCAGTGAGCAATAATTCTACCCATAGAAGCTTTGAGGTGGTGTGAGCAAGTATTCAACGTTTGTGCCAGAGCGAGCGACAAGAGACTGCTTCTTATAGCTCCAAGCAACAAGGTTTGGTTCATGGTAAATGCAAGAGTCTGAGGTATAGAGCCTGTCATCAAGGTCGTTGGCCCAATAAGAGTCGTTGTAAGCTTTAAGGGAGTATTGTTGTTGAGGATTGGACCATGCAAGTAGAAACATGTTAGTAGTTGTGCCACTGAGATATCTTAGCAAATGTTTCACAACACTCCAATGTGACTCTAATGGTTCAACCATGAGTTGACAAGCCTTGTTTACATAAAAGGCGATATCATGTGTTGTTAGAGTTACATATTGTAAGGCGCCAATAGTTGATTTATAGAGAAGAGGATCTGGGAGTTTATCTTCTTCATGTTTGTTGAGCTTACATGTGCTAAACATAGGCGTGCTTACGCCATTTGCTTCATCCATATTCATTTTAGTTAAGAGTTCTTTGATATAATTTGTTTGAGCTAACACCATCGAGCCATTAGGTTGATAATACATATCAATACCTTGAAAGTATTGAGGAGTACTGATAAGTGGTTTTTACACAGTCATTTATCATTGTTTTATGTTATCCTTTCTTTTTATTATCGCATGTTTTATTTCAGTTTACTACTTTTTATGCATTGGTTTTGTGTTTTAATATTTTCAGGTTCAAAAGAATAAATCAGGATAAATTGGTGCAAAACTCGGAGTTTTGGAAGAAATGCAAATATCCGTCTACAGGATGCCTGACACGGGCCGTGTCAGGATAATAGCCAGGGGTATGACACGGGCGCCCGTGTCAGGGTGCCTGAACCAAGAATTCAAGAATTAAATTTCCAGAGATCCAACACGGGCACCCGTGTTGTCTGACATGGCCCGTGTTGGGTTGCGACGCTAATTTTAGTATTTCAGGTTATTTTGTTCATTAGTTGGCCTGTGAGGGTGTTTTGGGTATTTCCAACTGACCAAAATGTGTTTTTGCTACTTAGAGGAGTTTAAACTATGAATTAGATGACTTTTGACTGGAGAAGATTAGGAACAATAAAGATTGGTGCTTTCAAGAGATTTGAAGACGAAGATTCCTTCATGAGGAATAGCAATTGAAATTGAAGAATCCTCACCTTTTCTAATGTCTAATTTTATTATTGATTTTCTTTGTAATACTATGAGAGGCTAAATCCCCCAATGCTAGGGAGTGTCCCTGATTCTCAAATGTATTGATTTTGAATTCTTGACTTTGATACAATAGTTTCCTTTCGATTTAATTATTCAATGTTCTTATGCCTTTCCTATCAGACAAATAGGGATTGATCCACAGTTAACAATTAGGACTAGACCGTTATTGTTAAGGTTTTTGAACAATTAGACTATAATAGATATCACATAGGAATAGAGATATCCTATAGGTCATCGATAAAATCTTAATAACATAAAGGCTCGACTCCATCAGATTTCTCATTAAAAACTTAGGGAAAAACAAATTAAAGATTTAGTAGTTGAAGGTAATGAACTTGTTGAAGAGATCAAGAGTAAAGATTATTACAGGGTCAAATCACACACCTACCCCTAGCATGCTCCTCATATCAGTGAAAAGCCATTTTATATTTCTGCTACTTGTTAAGTGACAATTTCAAAACCAAAACCCATGTCAATTTTTGTTTAATTGAACTCCGAATTTAACTCGATAATTGTACGCGGTCCTTGAGATCGACATTCGGGGAATTTCCCTATTATTACAAAAGGAAAAAAATAGTACACTTGCTATTTTTCCCAACAAGTTTTTGATGCAGTTATCGGGGACTGCCGAATTATTGAGTGTAGTTTGAGTTCAATTAAATTTTTTTTCTCTGCAACTAAAATTCTTTTCTGTAATTTTTATATATTTTTTGTTATTAATGATTTTTTCTAACATTTGCATGCGAGGATAACCCTTAGCTTAATTTCCTTTGTTATACAGACTTATGTTCAGAATCAGAACCTAAAAGTATGGGTGAAAACCCACCATCACACGAGAAAAAGCTTAAAGAAATGAACATGAGTACTCAACAGGTAGCTTAGGTTCAACATGTACATAAGGTAGCTTGTGAAATTTATAGTGGACCGTGTCGTACCCCAAAATTGTCCTACCTCAATGATTTTATTTTTCGAGATTAAAATAGAAGAAATACTTAATTAAAGATGGTACAACAGTATCTGATGACCTATCTTTATCCAAGACTGAGGGTGTATTTTAAATCCATGAGAGAGGGGATTTCTAAATCAGAAAGACTCGTGTATCCGTGAACGTTGCGAGGCATGTTGGCTAGTGGTCCATGCATTTCGAAAATAAATAAAAAATCGAGTAACTATTAAGTTCTTAATTATTAAACAGTAGTTATTAGAAAAGGCGGGGGGAAATTAAATTTTAACTAAGCCCATTAGGCTTTTAATTGATCCATATGTTGTTTTTTGGAAAAAGTATTATTATTAAAAAAGGGAAAAACTGTTATTGTTATTATTTTTAAGAAAAAATCGTTTATTATTATTAAAGAAAACGTGATGTATTATTGCTAATAAACTCTGTTATTATAATAATATTCTATCTTATTATTAAAAGATGTTAGGTTAAATATTACTTATATAATTTATTAAGAGAATGTTTGTTATAAAAGTTTCTGTTTGGATCAAATGTTTTGAAAAAGAAGATTTAGGCCCAGTCCATACAAAAAAAAGCTGTTGTTTGCAGGCAATAAGCATGCTGGACCGAAAACGCATCTACAAAGCCCAATTGGAAAAACTTGTTTTTGGCTAAATAAATAAAAAACGCATATGCTGGCCCAAGTCTAATAACAAGTACTGTTCTAATCATAATCCAAAATTTACGCACAGTCACTGTAGAAATCACATTAAAACAGATTGAAAACCAAATCTATAAAATCAAATCAAATCGCTTATGGCCAACTCCCAAAATCAGTAAATCCAAAAAAGAAGGGCAATTACAACTAGTACAAATCTCTATTGCATAAAATCAAATCCAAATTAAATATTAAATCAAATATTCCAGTACAACAAATTAAATCAATCAATTTGAATCCCTAATTATCTCATTCCTAAATCTAAGACAACTTTGTAACGACAATTCTACAGGAAAAGCCCTAAAATATGACCCTATATATATTAACAACGAAAGTAAAAAAAGGAGGGGGGGATTTACAAAGGCTGGACAGAAGAGGAAGAGAAGAACGAAACTGTGAGAGGACGGCGAAGCTTGAGGCCGCGAAGAAGAACGTCGGACCGATTGATGTTGAAGATTCAAGAGGACGATTAGGGTTTCAACATCTGAAACCCTAACCGCCGTTGACGGTCACTCCTTGTTGCCGCACCACCTGTAACCTGGAAAGAAAGGAGAGAAAGAAGGGATCAGTACCGAATCGGAAAAAAGCCAGAGTCAGCCAAGAAAATCACAGAAAAGGGTAAAAAACTTTTAGTTTTTGCTTTTGTTTGGGTGTGATTCACGGTGTAGGAGAGGGTCAGGTTTGCGCCGCCAGAGGAAGGGAGAGTTAGGGTTGGGAGGGGGGGGGGAGTGTTCCATCATGAAAGAGAGAGAGGAAGGTATGATTGCTGTAAAAACAAAAGCAATGAAAATGAAAAATGAGTAAAAATAAAAGTTATATTTCGTATTGTTACAATGCACGCGCGCCCATAATTATAAATTTGTTCTCTCCTCATCATCCGTTCGATTTGGATCTGACGACCATGAACCAAGTCACACGTTAGGTGGCATACTCCCTCACCCACACAAACACCCTGAACCCCTCCATAACATGTTTGGGCCTAAGCCCATTGTTATTCGCACTCTCAGTTGCTTTAATTTCTAAACCAATAAACAAACTACACCCCCTGGTCTGAACCATAAATGGGCCTAGCCAGACTCCTTTTAACACACCCTTATTTTACTTATTAATATAAATTGCACCCCCTGTTTGATTTTAACAATTTTTCTATCTTTTATATATTTTCTAATATTATTATATTTTACTATTATTATCTTTTATAATAATTATTAATATTAATTTTTATATTATTATTATGTGCAAATATTATTATATTTTTTATATATCCTTTATTTATTACATATAAATATTATTTATATTATCATAAACAAATTATTTTTATTCAATACTGTTGTACCCCAAAATTTGCCCTCTCTTTTCCACGAGAAATCACAGCTTCGGGTTTCCTGATTTTTTCAGATTGGCTCAAGAATCGGTCAAATAGACTTTTCTTATCAGTCAAAAAAAATTAGGGTTTCCATTAACTTTTGAATCAGTCAAACAAATTATTAGGGTTTCTATTGATTTGGTTGAGTTTGGCTCAGGGTTTGATCAAGCAGACGTTTCTTCGACAATAAATTCAAAATTAGGGTTTGCGCACGCATTCTCAGAAGAATTTGAATCCACAACATTTCATTTGATTGTCACATGGTTTTGACGCTTGTTCAAGATTCCTGTTTGTTTCTCAAAACCTAAACATCTGGGATAAAAGCTGAGGCATTTGAATTGAGAGTTTGAAGTGTTGGTTTAATCAGTGAAGTGAAAGGCGTATGGACGCTTGTTTGTTTATTTGTGCAATGCTTTTGGTTATTTGGAATGCCAGAAGTATTGTTGGTTAATGCAAAGCTGTGTGACTGCGACGTTTGTTGATTATTTATAATTTCTAAGTTAAGATTATTGGGATAATTTCCAATTATTATAACTCAAGAGATTTAAATGAATAAATAAACAAGTGCAGAAGAATTAAAGAATTAACTGACAAAGGATTTTTTATTCATTTTCAATTGTTGTTACAAATGTTTATTTGATACAATAAATTTATTTACAGTGTTACAATGACGTTTATTACAATGATTAAAAATAAATTAAATCTATATCCTAAGTTGCTTGAAGTCTTCATCTTCTAATGTTGCTTCCCTTGCCCCAATTTATATTTACCTGCAAAGCCAGAAAAAGAGAAGTCAATAACAGTTAAATTGGAAAAGCCTTTCCAGACAGTTAATCATAAAGTTCATCATTAAAGGTTGTTGGCCGGAATCAGATTATTTTGGGTTTTCATCATATTTTTCTCATCCTCTTTGCAAAACACAAGAAAATTCCTCTTCTTGGTTCACAAAGAGGAAAGTAAAATTGTTTGCAAGCATGGAATTAATTAAATACAAGGCTGCATAATTTCAAACTGAAAATGCCAAACCAAATTGCAAACTGAACAAACAAGTTACACAATGCATAAAGGCAAACAAAACTGTCAACCAAACTAGGCAAACCAAACTGTCAAAGAAAGACAAAAGAAGCTGTTAAAGAAGCTGTCAAAAACTGTCAACAAGTACACAAAAAGCCAATGCAGAAAATCTGGAAAATAAGAGATATGCAAAGCAAAACCAAAATGCAAGCAATATTTCAAAATTTTCATCATTTCCCAGCCACAACCTTTTCTGAACAAAAGTACCATTAAGCAATTAAATATACTTTTCTGGAGAGAGA